CAGCAGCTCCGTCCTCAATCCGGCACCTGGCTGTGGGCTTCCTGGTCGATGCGCTCACTGGACGTCCAGCACGGCTTTAGCAGGGCAGGCACCTTCTGCCGTAGTAGCGGCCACCAAGGCCAGAGAGGTTGAAGCCCCCGGAGTTGATGGGCACTCCTTCCTCACTCAGGATGCTGCCAACAGCCGCGGAGGTGGTGGATCCCACAGCGGTGTTCTGGGGGAAGGAGCTGAGGATGGGTCCCGGCAGGGTCACCACCACGGGAGAGGGCTGGATCACCACGCGGGAGTCCTGGCACTGCCTGACACAGGGCTCGTTGCAGCTGTTGGCCAGCGGGGTTGGGCCACAGGGACGGCACAGATCGTAGCAGGACATGGCTGTGGGACGGAGGTGCACCTGGGAGAGAGGGCAGGGAAAGCAGAGGCAGCATGTGAGGCACAGCCTGACAGCCTGCTCGGCAAGGTAGAAGTCCCAGGCTGGGGAGCAGGGACAGGCTGCGTGGGGAGGAAGGGAGGTTAAGGAGCCCTGATCCCCCAGGTTTCCCTGCAAAGAAAGCCCAAGACCTTCTCCCACTTCCCCCCATTGCGGCAACAGAGATGCTGGGAGCAGGATCAGGGACCAAGGCTCTCAGCAAAAGTTTCACCAAGGCAAAGACTCAGTTGAAGCCAGAAGACCAAGAGAAAAAGGAGAAAGACACGAAAGAGGCAAAGCTGGTTGCAGCTCACCTTGTTGACCAAGGAGGAGAAGGCAAGAGAAGTGGATGAGGGAGCCTGCACTCGGACTGGCTTTTATATTGCTCCAGACCGCCCCAGGCCCAGAGGCACCCTTGGCGCACATAATGTGTTTACCAACAAGCTCATCTTGCATGCAAAGCATCACAATTACAGAAATGGGGACACTGCTTATGTTCCCTGCAACGCTGCCTTTTCATTTCTCTGCTCAGGACATGCCCCTTCAGCCACACATCCTCCTTTCAAGTGACAGTATTAGAGGCCAAAATTTTTTTCTGGGGAAATGACAGAGAAATGAAGGAAGAAGATGCAGACAAAGAGGAGGAGATGGCGTACCCCACCAGGTAATAACAGCCTCTCAACCTCCCAGGGCTTGTTTTGAGGTTTTGTCCTAAACTATGAGGCCTCATTTTCTTCCAAACCTATCATTAAAGGCCAGACTTCCAACAAGGTTCCTATGGGAGGACCAGCCACATCCTCAGCTTTCCCTATCAACCAGCTCAGGCAGTCTCAGGCACCAGTTTTCCAAGCGTGTCAGCTATGTCCTTGGGCTTTAGTCCATCTGTGATGTTGAGCATTGCTCTCTGGAGCCATAAGCCTGGTTGTTTTCCCTCTCCCCTCTAACAGCAGCATCTAGAGGCCCCCAGTCACCGACACGGGTGTGTTTCAGAAGGAAGGACATTGCTCTGCCACAGCCAAGTGTTACTTTGCCACTCTTGTTGAACCACGATGTCCCCCCTAAACAAAGGAACACGCTGGGGATCAAATACATCTGCTTTCTTCCTTCCCTTGCTCCATACCTCAACTTCTGCTTTGCCTCTGCGTACTGACAGGACAGCAAACACAGTTCCAAACACACAGCAAGATTTCCATGCACCACAAAAGTCTCCCCAGATGCAAGTCAGGGCTGGCAGTGCCAGCAAAGGCAGCCTGCAGAGCAGCAGGTGTCAGGATCTCCCCAGAGATGGATGCCAAGGAAAGCATTCCATGCTCCCTACTGCTTTTCCAGGGGCAGAAAAAGAGTTGAATGTCCCCAAGAGGAATGACGCCCTTCCCTGGGGCAACACCCACACTCCTATGACACCCTAACTGGGTTCCCATTGCAAAGGGTGGACAAAGCATCTTCCCCCATTAGGTTGGGATCCCACCAGACACAGGCAACTCTCTAATCACAGAGGCCCAGGCCAAATTCCTCATTTAAGATGATGAAGAGAGCTTTGAAGGCACACAGTGTTAACCTGACAATGACAGTCCATCCAAAGAGAAATGGAGGCAGGGCTCAGTGAGAGCCAGCTGCTCCCTGCAGAATGGAAGCCAGGAGAGGAGCAGATCACAGGGCGAGGAGAGCAGCAGCCTCACCGGTAATGGCCCCATTAAACAGTACCTGAGCAAGCAAAATGCTGAGACAGCAGGCAGGTACAGCCCAGATTCCAGTTCAACCATCAGGTTCAGGGTGATGACGCCGGACTGACATCAAGCAGGACAGTCTGCCCACAGGTCAGGACCAGATGCAGCAGTGGTAACCTGGGCCAACAGAGCCCACTGATAACTGACCAGCACCAAAATGACATGAGAGAACCAAGGACATGCTGGGAAGGCAGTGGGAAACTTAGGGTCCAGATCAAGGGGGCTCACGGTCAGGCACAGGCAAACATTCAGAAGAACAGGAGCCCTCCACCTCTGGACCCAGCTGAAGAGGGGGTAAGGGCTTGGGACAGAGCTTATATAGAGCCCTGGGTCAAAGGGAAGAGAGAGGCATGAGAGACCCCAGGTGAGGCTCATCAGGGCCATTAGGCCTGTTGTTACTGCACTCAGGCCACTGATGTGAAGAAGACAAAATCTCCTGTGCACGTGGGACACACGACACCGGCACCATCTGTCATAGCAATGGGGGGAAGGACTTCTTTGAGGGGGTGCTCGCTGTAGCATAGAAGGTGCCCTTCATTCTACCTGAAGCACAACCGGGGTGCAGAGGGGAAAACATCACTTGTGTAGGACAAGAGGATGTGGGAGGAAAGGATAGGCAGCTGGTCCCTTCCTACTTCACCAACTACATGAGAACTTCACGCAAGAGCAAAGTTCCTTCCCTCCCTGATGTCAATGGTGTTGAAGTTTAGGGCAGAAAAGCAGGAAGACAGAATGGCTGCATCCTGGAGAGTTTCCTTCCTTCCTTTCTCTGGTATGCAAGGGACACACAGGGACTCACTACATGCCCTCACTTCAGTGCCATGGCCCACAGGTCACGCAAACTCCCAAACAGTGACTGTGGTGCTCTGCCAACATTGCTGAGTACTTCAGAATGGCAGCCCGAGGGGAAGAAAGAGATGATCTGGGAGCAGATGTTAAGGGATACAACTCCATGGGCATCTGTCATCCACCACACACTTCTTGGAGCCATTGAAAGCATCACAGAGGTGTTCTGAGAGACACAACAAGTCTGTGTTCAGGACACTGGAATGTGGGTGGCTTTGGGAAGGCTGTATCACACGCAAAGGACATTCCCTTCCAAGTGACCATGTCAGTGGGACTCCCCTCCTGCTCCGAATCCCACAAGAAAGATATGAGACCACCACATGCCTTCAGCCACCCGTTTCCCCTATGTCGGATCCCATCTCCCTCTGGAGAGCTTGGCTGTGCGACCCAGGAGAGAAGGAACACCAGGAGACATCAAGCTACAATGCAGCACAAACTTTAATGAGTCTAAAGAGTGAAACAAAGCAGGGCATGGTGCAAGGGACCCAGACCACGCTGCTACAAGGGCAGCTGACAGCCAGGCATCCCTTCACACCAATGGATGGGACACATGTCGTCCTCCCACACACAGGCGGAGAGGGTGATGAGCAGGGCCCCGCTCAACTTGCTTCAGGATGAACCCATGGCACAGGAGAGCAGGAGACAACAGGGACTCGTGATGCGGAGAAGAAAGCAGCAGGAGAAGAAGAAGACATCAGCTGGCCATGTTTCCAGACAGCACAGGCTGGCACCTTGCTCAACCCTTCTGGAAACCCTGGCCAGCAGCTCCGTCCTCAATCCGGCACCTGGCTGTGGGCTTCCTGGTCGATGCGCTCACTGGACGTCCAGCACGGCTTTAGCAGGGCAGGCACCTTCTGCCGTAGTAGCGGCCACCAAAGCCACCAAGGCTACCAAGGCCAAAGCCCCCGGAGTTGATGGGCACTCCTTCCTCACTCAGGATGCTGCCAACGGCCGCGGAGGTGGTGGATCCCACAGCGGTGTTCTGGGGGAAGGAGCTGAGGATGGGTCCCGGCAGGGTCACCACCACGGGAGAGGGCTGGATCACCACGCGGGAGTCCTGGCACTGCCTGACACAGGGCTCGTTGCAGCTGTTGGCCAGCGGGGTTGGGCCACAGGGACGGCACAGATCGTAGCAGGACATGGCTGTGGGACGGAGGTGCACCTGGGAGAGAGGGCAGGGAAAGCAGAGGCAGCATGTGAGGCACAGCCTGACAGCCTGCTCGGCAAGAGAGAAGTCCCAGGCTGGGGAGCAGGGACAGGCTGCGTGGGGAGGAAGGGAGGTTAAGGAGCCCTGATCCCCCAGGTTTCCCTGCAAAGAAAGCCCAAGACCTTCTCCCACATGCCATGGTGGCAGCAAGGAGCCAAGAGTCACGAACACAACCAAAGACCAAGGGTCTCTCTAAAAGCTCTACCAAGACCAGAAGACAAAGAGGAGAAGAAGAGAAAGAGAAGAGGAA